ATGGAAGTCCTGGCACCTCTCCTGACAAGGCAGACGGTTGGTTTAGGGCCACAGGGCACTGAGGTGGTGCTCAGGCTGGTCACAAACTTCTCCTTACAACACCCCTTTTATTTTTAAATATTGAAAGTAAAACATGCCAACTGGTGCACATTGGGGGCCATCAGCAAGCGTGCCAGCTGACGTGCATCAGACTGTAGTGATAAATAACGACCGGCAAGAAAATATAAGGTCTAGGGGAAAAAGCTTACTCAAACTGTGTTTTTCCTGACTGCAAGGGTTCTTCATTGCTAGCGCGGTCTTTTCGTAGGTTGAAACAGGCTCAAAGTGCCAGGGATTGTTCTCGCAGGCATGAGATCAGATTATTCATCACCAAGTAGTGACACGCTCTGCTTTGCTTGGCAAGATGCTGGCTTTTTTTGCTCCAAGCCAGGTAAGAACTGTTCTGGCAATCAATGGCAGGTGGCCACAGAGGTCTTTGCAGTAGAGCAGGGCTCCGGTGTTACTGTATAGTCCTAGTGTGAAAAGCTGCCTCTTATTTTTGCCATCAGGTAACATCCCCCTGGCAACCACAGCTATTGCTTACATGTAAAAGTGCTATTAGAAAAATGGTTTAATGTGGTTAAGCTGCAGAAAACAATGAACAGCTGTCTCTCCAGGGACTGCTAGAGCTCTGTAGACTATGCATAGTCCGATTACCACTACAGCAAGAGCTCAGCAGTGCTGGAGGGGAGAGCCCTAGGAGGATTATAGTGGCATTTAGAAACCTCATCATCTGCATTGTGGCATCTGTAGTAATGTTGAGGAAGTCTGCTCTCACTTACTGTAGCAAACAAGGAAATGTGCCATGCTAATCACTCCAGCACTGTCTTTTCAACTCGGAGGCCTTTGTTTGCCATCCTTCAGATGGTTTCTCTTGTCTAAAGCACGACAGGGAGTATTTGACCGTGCATTTCTGAAGTGGCAGCACCGCTTCCCTGCTATTATGCACTGTGCTTCGACTGCTAGTGTCCAGAGTTCCTTATTGGTACATTTTAAACTTCAGTGCTTTTGTCTATGCCTCTCTCACAAATTAATTCCTGCTCTGTGGCCTTTTTTGTGCACTGTCTGGCATGTGGTGATGTACATAGGGACTGATTAAACCAATACCTGTAGGTACCAGAGAAAAGGGACATTCAGTTCTGAACTCTTATGGTGAGGATCAAATTATACTTCTAATTATGTTCCAGGGGCTGGGCAGGCGGCTTTGAAGCGTTATCCTGTTCCTGCCTAGGGCCTGAATCTCGGCAGTGGGCTGACAATTTATTATCATGATTACTTGATCTAGTTTGTAGCTTGCTAAAAGGGCTACAGTAACTGTTCAGGAAGTAAAGTCCTCTCCAGAGTTTGGCTTGCAGTCGGACAAATGACAGCTACCGATGAAGAGTTGGGGGAGTTGCAAGGTTGGGCCCTATAGTCTTTATTCAGTTAAGCAGCATTTGGAATACAACAGCAGGGAACGGGTTTTCACAGGAAAATACCAAGGAAACAAACTCAAACTGTTTCACAGTAAAGGACAGCTTTCATGGAAGTTGTTTCCTAGGGAAATTATTGTAACATTTCATTTTGACATTATCATTTGGCCTCATTATTTAACTATTTATAATGCAAGTTGAAAGAAAGCCAAAATGAAAAATTTAGGCTTTATCAAAATGAATTGGTTTGATGGTCCTGGGAAAAAAAACCCCATCCGGTCATGTGGCTGTTTCTAAAATGGTGCAGGTTTGGAGATTTTGTTTTAAGGCAAATTTCAATACTGCTTGTTTTTCTAGTTCCCACTTGGGGTGGAAAGGGGTTCAGAAATGATGGCATTTCCCCTTGGAACAGAATTCTTCCCCACCCAGCTCAACTCCCCTGTGCCACGGTGGACAATGCAACGCTCGGTTGTTTGTGCCATGCTGCCTGCCTCTGCCTTGTCCCAGGGTCACAGTGCCTTCTGCTGCTGCTGGTTTGAGGGCAGGGATTGATTCATAGATTGTAAGGCTGGAAGGGACCTCAGAAGATCATTGGGTCTAGCCTCCTGCACCAAGCAGTAAAGACAACAGGGTCAGGTGACCCCAGCAAGGCGACCATCCAGTCTCCTCTTGAAGATTTCCAGGGTAGGCGATTGCAGCACCTCTGGAGGGAGCTTATTCTACAGTCTGGACACCCTAGCTGTGAAGAAGTTTTTCCTAACATTGAGTCTGAGATGGTCTTCCAGGAGTTTGTGGTGATCACTCCTAGCTCTCCCCAAGGGTGCCCCAGTGAGCAGTTGCTCCCCAAGCCCCTGATGTACTCCCCTGATGTAGTGGCAAACTGCTACCAAGCCCCCTCTCAACCTTCTCTTTTTTCCGTTGGAAGAGTCCCAGGTCCCTCAGCCTTTCCTTGTATGGCTTGCCATGCTAGCCTCTAATCAGACGGGTGGCCTTCCTTTGGACTCTGTCAAGTTGTACCACATCCTTGTTAAAGTGTGGCACCCAGAACTGGATGCAGTACTCCAGCCACAGACTCACAAGTGCTGAGTAGAGTGGAAGAATCACCTCCTTGGTCTTGCTGGAGATGCATCGATTGATGCACGCCAGAGTATTATTTGCCCTACTGGCAACAGAGTCGCATTGCCGGCTCATGCATGCTCTGGTCTATTATTACCCCCAGGTCATTTTCATTCGTGGTGCTGGCCAGATTGGCGTTGCCAAGCCTGTAGGTGTGCAGGGGATTGCTCGTCCCCACGTGGAGCACTTCCCATTTCTCAACACTGAGCTTCATCTGGTTCTGACTCACTCAGCTTGCTAGCCTGTCTAGATCCACCTGTATCTGTAAGCTATCTTCAAGCATGATCATGCTTGGTGTCATCTGCAGACTTTGCCAGTGAGCTCTTCACCCCCACATCCAAATCATTGATGAAGATGTTGAAAAGTACAGGACCAAGCACTGTCCCCTGTGGGACACCACTGCCCACTTCTTGCCAAGATGACACGGATCCTTTCACTATGACTCTCTGGGTCCTACCCTGCAGCCAGCTTCATACCTACCTAACCATCTCACAATTAAGCCCACTATATTCCAATCTTCTTGTGAAAACATTATGGGATACCAGCTCAAAGGCTTTTTGGAAGTTAAGGTATACAACATCTACCATTTCTCCCATATCCAGGTGGCGAATCACCTGACTGTAAAAGGAAATGAGGTGGTTAGACAAGACCTGCCTGTGACAAAGCCATGCTGGCTGTTATTCAGAATCCTACCTTCTGCAAGCCTATCACACATAGACTCCTTAATGAATTTTTCCAGAATTTTCCCTGGGATAGAAGTTAGGCTAATTGACCTATAGTTACCCAGGTCCTCCCTTCTACCCTTCTTGAAGATGGGCACAACATTGGCCTTCTTTCCATCCTCAGGGACCTCCCCAGAGCATCACAAGTTTTGGAACAGTTTCTCCAGGGGCTCCGCGATGACGTCGGCCAGCTCCTTCAGCGCTCTCAGATGGAGTTCTTCTGGTCCTGCTGACTTAAACGAGTCTAATTTCTTTAATTGATCACACACCAGTTCTATGGAAACAGCAGGGAGGTGGTCATTTCTGTCCTGCTCATTCTGTACCCTATCTGGCATGCTTTTCCCCATGGCCTGGTGAAACACCAAGGCAAAATAGTCATTCAGGAGTTCAGTTTTCTCCTGAGTGCTGGTAACCAGCTGTCCTGAGTTGTTGAGCAGCGGCCCCACGCTCCCATTTGCTTTCCTTTTGTTCCCTACATACCTAAAGAAGGACTTTTTGTTGTCTTTGATGCTCGTTGCTAATCTAAATTTGGTCGCCACCTTAGCCTTTCTAATTTGTTTCCTACAAATGTGGGTTGTTGTTGTATAGTCCTCCTTGGGGCCTGTCCCCAGCTTCCATTGTTTGTATGCCTCTTTCTTCTTTCTAAGGAGGACTGTGATTTTCCTGTTTAGCCAGGAGGGCTTCCCAGCCCTTCTGCTGACCTTTCTCCATGTGGGAATGGACTTCCTTTGTGCTTCAAGGATCATGTCCTTAAGGAGAGACCACTCTTCATGCACATCTTTTGCCTTCAGACCCTGATCCTGCAGCACTTGCCTTTCTAGTGACCTGAGCTTGTTGAAATGTGCATTTTTGAAGTCCAAGGCTTCAACTCTGCTATCAGATTTGCCTGCCTTGTGACGGACAGTGAACGTGATGGTTTTATGGTCACTGTCACCCAGGCTACCCTCTATTTTTAACTCGGTCACCAGGTTGTCTCCTAGACTTGGTCCTGGCCCAAGGAGAGGGGTAGGCTGAAGTTTGGGAGCTGTGAAGTGCAGGTGGCTGATCCAAGCTTCCCAATTCCTGCCCCTCTGCACTCTGCCTGTAGAGCTGGCTAACCCATACCTCAACCAATGGTCTTGATGGTGTGCAGCACTTCACAGATTTGTGGCCCTAATCTAATATGTGGCTCTTTGACCTCCCGTGGCAGGCTCACCGATACTTATAATCACCCCAGAGGAACTTTATAGACGTACCTTTTACAGGGTCAGTAAGCTGCGTTAGTGGGTAAGACACTCTTCACTGACAAATGATGAATGAACAGGGCTAGGTTCTTAATACTACACAGTAGTTTAGGGACAACAGCCTGGTCACTTCAGCCAGCCAGGCCGGATCCTTGAGCGAAAAGGTCAGGCCAGCCAGGCCGGATCCTTGAGCGAAAAGGATAGACCGGTCTTTTTTTTTTTTTTTTTTTTTTCTTTACAATTTTATTTACAAAATGTATTAAAACTCTTTGTACAACACCTCATTAAAATGAGGCTCAGTAATTTATGCCCACACATGCAGTTTACGCTTTTACAGCCATTAGTTTGCTTGGCAATTTTTCTGTTCACCGAAGTGCAGTTGTAACCACCAAAAATTGGAACTTAAAAAAAAAAAAAAAAAAAAAGAGAGGGGGGAAAAAATTAAAAAAGGAAAAAAAAAAAAAAAAAGGAAGAATAAACCCCAAATAAAAAAGTAAACCAAGAACTCCTCGAGTGACTACTGCTGGACTTCTGCAGCTTGAAGTTGGTAGCAGGAATTTGTAAGCATCAACACTTTTTTTTTTTTTTTTTACATGCAAGTTTTTAAAAATAACAATCCATTTTACCAAACCCCTTCACCGGTGTGAAGCTTCCACTCTTAAAAATCGATGTGATAAACATACATTTCTCTTTATACAGCTTCTAAGAAAATGTTTGTTTTTAATACAACTTATAACTGCTGAGCTTTCCTTTCCCCCTCGCTGGGATGTGATAGCATTTGGAACCTGAAAATCAGTTTCATGAAAAAAAGGAACAAATAGTTTCTTTTTGTTCAATAGTGTGTTAAAAACTTTAACAGTGCGTTGTTCTTCCATGAGGTTTAAAAATGTTTTATAGTACATTTTGTTGGAAATATTTATTTCTTTAGCAAGGCTTTCTCCATATTATCTTTCTTTCATTTTTTAAAATTCTAATAGAAGATCAAATCTATTGTCAAAGAACTAAAAGCCTAAAGGGTCAAACTTTTTTTTTTTTTTTAAAGGATTATTCATTATCATCTGGAAGATTTTTCCATGTATGTTACTGATGAAAGAAAACTCTATTGAACTACAGAAAGTACTTATTGTCATATTAGAGGTAATTAGTATGCAGATACTTCCTTGAACATTTCTCTGTAACTGTGACAGTAAAAGTTTCTTTTTTTTTCTTCCTTAAAAAATGCAGTAAAGTAGTTTTCTGGCACAGAGTCAAGGTTGAAAAACTGCCTCTATTGAGAAGTTGGATGTGAGTAATACTGAGCCTCTATCTTTAGCAGTATATCTTGGAATGCATTGTATTCTTTACAAACTGGAAAGGACACAAGCATCCTTTGATGAATAGCCATGAAACAATTATTGGCAGGAGCTGATATAATATAACAGTACTAGCAATAGTAATGTTAGATCGCATAATAATAGTCTCAAACTGTAGGTCTCATTTGAGACACTCTCCTGTTTCCTCATCTTTGTTTTCCAAATGACAATAATCCAAGAAGCATCATCTGAGCACACTGCTAGTATTGAGAAAAGTGGTTTTAACCAGGTGTGGGAAAAACTGTTTTGCACTTCTCTCGCCTCGTTGCTGAATATTAGATATCGACTTAAAATGCAAATGCACAGCAAGAAAAGAGAGATATATGTGGCCAGAACCTAAATTCACGAGTGGCTATTAGTTTTTTCTTTTTTAAAGCCAGCTAATGCCATTTTAATAAAGCACCTGTAGTTATGCCTGATTATAGAGAAAAAGGCGTACAGTATTTTTTTTTACTGGCACTATAGTTAGCTTGTCAAGAGAATTCATTTACTGATCTGGAAGCAAGATCTGCAGTTCCACAAATCATTTTCTTTTGGACTTACAGATGCATAATCACTGACTTCATCTTTTTTTTTTCCAGCACATTTTCTTTTTGGATGTGTGTTACATTCACCTTTTACTGATATACATGTTTTACCAAATGAGCTAGAGAATTTAAAGTGGCTAGAAAAAAAAATCACACCACCCTTTTAAGAAGTACCCAAAGCATCTTGACAGTCGATCACAGAAGTAGCGACAGGCTGGTCTGTGTTCACAAGCAGTGGACGTCTGAGGCTTTAGATCAGGAACGGGGTAGACGATGAAAACTGACCTTTATTCTGGTTTGAGGACGTAAGTTCATATACTGTGCAGTGGTATCAAAGAATGGCTTTTGTTGAACTGATTTTTTTACAAGTATATTTGTTCACATACTAGTATTTTGTCTAGTTACCAGTTCTTTTGTTTTGTTTTTTGTTTTCAAGCAAAGCAAGAATATTTCAGTGATGGTTTGCATTGTTGTGAGTCTCAGAGTCTTCCATAAGGCACTGAAGGAAAAAAAAAAAGTTCATTGCACCATCATCAATATGTGTCATGCCTGACACCTAGGAGAGAGTAAAACTGGCTCAGGTGGTCAGGATCCATGAAGTAGCCACAATCTCAACTGCTTCTCCTCTTGCATGCTGTCATAAGTGAGGATCTATATAATAAGAAAACAAATGTTTCAGTTCCCTTCCAATGAGAGGAGATCACTGTATGTTGGGGGGCGGGGGGCCTGGACTAGATTGCCTTTAGGAGTCCTTTCCAGCCCTGTTTATTTGATTATACGGGTGGACTTGTTTGGACAAAGAAAGGGCTAACTGGAATGAGTCATCCAAAGCTTTACATATTAAGTCCTTCATAGTATGTGGATTTTCTCTTCTTTACATTTGCAAAGTGCCCAACACAATGTCACCCCAATATTAAGTGTGCCCCGTGGGTGCTTTTACAGTATGAATATTTCGTGCTCATTAAAAGCTAGATTGAACCTCTGAAATACTGCAGCCATCTAGATAGTTTCTCTGGAAATCCTTTGCCCTTTTTTCTACTCACCTTTTTTTCTGCTTCTGGCCATAAGTGGAAGCACTGAAGTGCCACAAGCCGGACAGTTTTTGTGCTATTTCTTATCTGGCCAGAGGCAGGTAGTTCTGGAAAGACCACTGGTCCAGGGCTGAGGAGACCGTTTCTTTGCTGATGTCAGTAGAAAAGGTCCCACTCACCTTAGTGGAAGCAGGAAGGGAGCTCCCGTTGTGTAGACTCAAGAGATTTGGATACTCCTATAGACCAGGCGTGGGCAACCTTTTAGAGTGGCAGGGTGGGGGGTTGCAATCGGGGGGGGGGGTGGGGTTGTTCCCCCCCCCCCCCCTGCCATGGGAAGCCGATATCCACCCCTGCTGCCCTGATCCCTTCTCTGCTCTGTGGCCCCTCCACTTACTGAGTGCTGTTGAAAGCCAGGGCAAATACCAGAAGGGGACAACGAATTCACCAGTGAGGGCTCAAAGCATGAGGCTTTAACTAGCTGCCCCTTTAAATCACCACTGTAACCTGGCTCCCTTAAGTTATCACTTCAGCGAGGTCCCGGCACACCAAATCAGACCTTCAGAGGCAAAATCCATGCTCTTCACAGGCTAGATCTAGCCCATCGGCTGTAGGTTGCCAACCCCTGGCTAGACTTGTGGTAATTATCATGACTGCTAATCGCCTCTCATTACTCATAACAACAAAGTTTATCTGAAGGCTGGAAATCCTTTGATTTCTGTCAGCATAAAGGTGGAATCTGTGAAATACTTGGTTGGAATAACTTCTAGAGAGGCCTTTAGTCATTCATTTCTACTGCTTCATGCTTAAGAAATTAGCTTCATCTAGGGTATGTCTACACGTACCACAATAAACTCTGGTGCTTATCACACTGGGGTTTATTGCTCTCAGGTGCACATTTGCACATGCACCCAGGACCTCAGCACATGGAGCTGGGTCGTAGCAGCCCCAGCTGGCAGAGGCCTGGGGCTTAGCCTGCCAGCCCGGGGATGCTCCCCCCTGATCAACATGCTGCGGAGAGGCTGGCTGGGACACAAGGTGTGGGGTTAGCCCCTGTACTGAAGCACCCTCATGCCCCAGCTAGCTGGGACAATGTCTACATGCGTGCTGCCGAAGAATTTTTTATATTAGTTTACTCCACCATAATAGGGGCCTACATGTAGACGCCGAGACATTTACTGCACAGTTCATTAGTCTGCTGTGCAGTAAACATCTTGCATAGACGCGCTGCTATTGTAGCATTTTTGATACTTGGTGACTCTTTGATCAGAAGGACATAAAATATTACCAAGATTTCCTACTAGTACTTACCTGAGCTGAGCACAGCCTCTTAAAAAATAAGGGGGTCAATGTAACAAGAAAGGAGAAAAGAATTCTGGATGACAGTTATCACTTAAAGGGATGAAAAAAAGTTTTGGAAGCACTGACATTTCAAATACAGGAGTCATTCACTTTAGCATCGATGCTGGCATCATCATTATAGAGACGGGCTACTTGATTGAGAAACAAAATTAAATCCCAGCTACTGCTTGTGAATTAAGGGGAGGGGGCGGGGGGGGAAGAGTGAGTTGCTAGCACGTAGTACAAAAAACCCTGTAATTATTTCCCACCAATACATATAACAGTTCCAACATATTACTGAAATGGAAAAAGGGTATTAATAAAAGGGAAATGAATGAACTGGATGAGTAGACCTTAATCGTACCCCTAGATTTTAACACTTTCTGTTCCATACACGTTGTAGCCTTCTCTGTACGTAGCGTAATTCTGGGTATTGGTTGCAGGAGCAGGTTTAAAGTTTTGTGTGTTCTTTGTGAGTTTCATTCGTTTGGATTCTGCCCGAGACTTGTAACAAAACTCTATCAAAGCAACCATCATGGCGAGACCAAGACCTCCAACAAGAATATAGAAAACCCCAGCAACATTGCTCAGGCTCAGAGCGCTTGTCTTGTCCTAAGAGAAATGAACCACTTGATTAGTTTTGCTGTGGCAAAAGAGACAAATGATTACAAGTTATTTTGCAATCAGTCCTACAGTTTGTCTGCTTAGAGTAAGTCAACATAGAAATAACTCTCTTATTTGTGACTCCAGACTCCCTGTGCCCACACATCAAACCAGTCCAGAGATCCCAGGTCAGAATATCAAGAATATACTCTTCCCTAGTTACTTTTACATACTGGAGCTCATGTATCTGTGTTAGTTTCAGCTCTGTCCAAGAGACACAGAAATACTAAAACTAGGGTTTCTTAGCAAAGTTACTTTTCTGTCTCATTCTGTTCAGTTGGTGAAGCTGAGTTTTGCCATTGGCTTCAATAGGGTTTGGATTTCACTCAGCAAATCTCTCTACTGCTAAGCATCGCTGGTAGCAAGCAAAAGGCTCCCTGCCAGGGCATCTCTTATTTTATACAGTCATTGCTTTCCCATATGGGGAATTCCAATAATACATTCATTTTTTTACGGCCTTCTGGAAATTCACTGACCCCTCCCCTGCCCCCCTGAAAACCAAACAATCCCACCCCCCCAAAAAACCCCTTCAAGCCCGCCAGCAGGCATTTGTTCTTGGTGAATGTAGAGAAAATAACTGTAGGTGTTGCTAACCTTATCTATTTTGTATTTAACAATAAAAGTCATTGAGGAAGATGGTCAGTTACTTTCAGGTCAGGCTGTGGATCCCTGTCTAAACTAGCACTTTCTGTTACAGACAGAGAGAGGGCTACCGAATCAAAGAAATAATAATACTAATCCTAATTAAAATCGATGTCTAGGTCATCCTGTCAGGGCATGACAAACATGGAAAAAAGGTTTTCATCTAAAAAAAAAAGTAGGGTTCTGGAATCAGTCAACAGAACCGCAACCATTTTGCAGCTGAATTGGATTGCTTGCCATGCTGGTTCCTTACTATTCGGACACACTTTTCTTGCCGAAGTTGTAGCACAAAGATCACAAACACTAACTGGCTGCTCTTAAGTCAGGTGCCAGACCAATCTGCAACAAGTCTTTGCACTTGCTGAAGACACTTAGTTGTCAAGAAGTACAGTTAGATGTACTTGGTTAGATGTACTTAGTTTTACCAAAATTCTCTAAGGACATCCCCCATGTCTGTAAAACTAGGATTGGCACAGCCTGAGGAAAGTACAGGCACTTTGGATAAATGCAGTTGTGAAAACGACCTGTTCTTTTAACTAACAATAATTCATTTGAACTATCTGTAATTTGTTTGTTTCAAATAGACGGAGCCTAATTTGGCAATTGGTGTGCGTTCGTGTCCTCACTGAGCCCGAGGGAACCTTGCATGTAGCTGCAAAGTCGCATCCGAAGAGAGCAAATTCCAGTTCCACTGAAACCAGTCACTGTTACTGTTGACTTCAGTGGTGTCAAGAGATGACCTCCAGACTTTGAACCATGCAATAAAAATGGGGGAGATTTGCAAAGGCACCAGCATTAAGCACTTAACCCCCATGGGTATTTAATAGGAGTGGGCTGATGATCTCCCCTTGGTGGTTTTTGAAAATCCACTCTTTAATCATTAGGGCTCCTTTGGCACCTCGCTTCCTCCATGGCACTGTAAGCATGAACTAATCCTTTTGTCTTCTTACTGCATGGAGCAAGTAAAATATTTCCTCCCTAATAAATAGGAAATGGATAAATGATGGGTCAGATCCCCACCCAGAGCTTCCACTGAGGTCTATGGGAATCTGCACAAGAAACAGCTGCAGGTTCACCCAAAGTGTCTGGCCCTCTTCAGTAGAGCTTTTCTGTATAGTTTGGTTATGCTAACCAATGAGCTGTGCCAATCGCGTACTCCGAGTATGCACCGTGTTCGAATTCCCCAAGAGCAACAACATTTGGGCTACATTCGTAGCAATACAGTAGCAAAATGGTTCAACATACAATAAAAATGAATGTCCAAGATTTATGGAATGAGCTACCAAGAGGACCATGATATTAGATCGTTGTTAAAAACTCAAGCAGAAATTTTAAAACTTGTTTGGGGATGGCTGGGAAAAAAGGGGGTTCATGCTTATCAGTGAGATGTCTTTCCTGAAAACATCCACCCTTACCAAGCCTGTGGCTATTTCTGAAACCAATTTAAGCTACAGTTTGAAATCAAACTTTACATATTCTATAAAACTCAATAATAATAATAATAATAATTAAAAAAAAATGTTGGACTAAATAATACATTGACTGTAATAAAACTTGGCATTTAAATGGAGATACCAGGTTTGAAGTGTGTGTGTCTGTTCTCTATATTTTCTTTCCAGCAAAATATCCAAGTACTTACAACTAAAGCCTTTGATACTGTAAGAGAAAAATGCTGTCATGTTCTGATCTTTCATTATATTTTTTTTCTATTCTTTTCCTTGAACCTTCACAATGTAAATGTTAACTTTGGAAAGTCATTTTGTATAAACAAACAGTGGGTCAAAATGTGATGTCTAATCAGTACAAAAAGACCTTCAGCGACTGACCTTACTTCCGGAGTCCTTGGCTCCACATTCACCCTTATCGTACCACCATTTGTTTTTCAGCTTGTCTAAGATGCCTTGTTCACTGAGTTTCAATACTGCAAGGTTTACAGGAGTTCTTCACGTGGGAAATAACATAAATAACATTATATTATGTTATTTTATGTTATTCAAGCTTTAAACTACTTTAAAACTATACAAAGCGATAAAGCAGGGTTCCTGGCCACAAAGTAATTATACTGCAGGCAACTGGATCATCCCCTTAAGTTAATGCTAGAGCAACACTATATTACCAGGTCCTGCCCATATCGCTTTGAGTAATCGGCACACACTGTTAAATGAAGATAACATCAACAATGTAACTCCAATTTCCCTTCTTGTTAGACTCGTTAGGCAGCTCACAGTAGCTTTACAAGCAGTTTGAAAGGTTTGATCCAACAGGACGCTGTATTGTACTAACAGAGGCTAAGCACTATTTTCAACCAGTAGGGGTAAGCATGGTTTTCCAGCATCTGAATATTTTGATGGCATTTGAGAATCAAATCTATCCACAAAGAAATTGTATACGCTCAAATTCAGCTACAGCAAAAATTCTAATGCACAGCAGTGCAAAATCCTCTCCATTTGCCTGTGATCCTTGTTCGGGGTACTACAGAGGAAATTCTATTTTTGCTCTTTTCTCGGGTGGATTTTTCACCAGCAAAGAGCTGTTTGCAGCACTGAGGACTCCAGCGTACGTATGCGCAGTCTGAAGCAGGTGAAACAGAAACATCACAGCAGTGGAGGTGGGGGAATTTTCCCAGATTTCATGGCATCTTGTCCATGACAAATTTCAGAAGGTTTCCCCAATCTCTGGAACATTTTACGTTGAACCATGACATTTTGAGTGCATTGAACCAAACCAAACAACCCAGCACCTTTCCCTTCCTCTGCAAAAGCTCCAATAATGAAACATTCTTGACTCAGAGCCGCTAAGTTCTGCATACTGCGCAGCACAGCCTAGTCAGTATATCGAAAAGGCAAGGCATGCAGGAGGGCGAGCACTAGCCCTTCTTTCTAACGTAGATGCTGCTGAAGTGCAACATCTTGATATTTTCACGAAATATGAGACGATAATACAACGCCATAATGACTTGGTCCACATGGAAACACTGGGTCAAGCCACCAGCTTTTAATGTTGATGGCTGGAGAACGGAGATTTTCTCTTTTTTCTGTTTTCTTTTCTATATTTCTGCTAAACAGCAGGGAGAAACTTTTTCTTTGCCTTTCCTCCACAGAGAGGAAAATGGCTGGGCTGAACCTATGCCCTGTATCTTTTAGGATATGCTTTAGGAAGGAAGGAATTGGTCATATCCAATTGCAGCTCCATGGGTTGAGGTGGAAGGAGATTTAGAAGCACAGGTCTGCCTCCTCTGGGGCAAAACCGTTTGCCCCCAGCGCTTTGCCTGGACTCATTGCAAAGCGCCGTGCCCCTCTCCCTGCCTGCCCACCTCTGGCATTGTGCGAGGAGGTGAGTCAGATTTATATGGCAGAAGCAAATGGGTCATGCATGGGTGTCTTTTGGCTGTTTGTGGAATGAGGGACTTTGCAATTACCTTTGGTCTTATGAGTGGGGGGTAGAAAATGGCCACTTTGAGAATCTCTGCTGCTTGGTGCAAGGCCTAGGAACAGCCCACAGGATGCTGGGCCTGCTGCTGCTAAGAAAGAGGGGCTTTCAGCCCTCCTGGCTTAGTATGGGTCTCAGCTGCTGCATGGTATTAGGAGGAGTGCTGACGGGCAATTCAAACCAAAGAGCCCACAGATTTTCTTATACCCATGCCAAAATTGCAAGGCAATTTGTGTAGCTACCTGGTGCCCATGTTCTCCTGTCTGCCTTCCCATAAGGTCCCATCCTTAGAAAAGGAATCCTAGTTAACTCAACTCACTCGGTCCACACATGGACTTGTTCTGACAGGCCATTTCCACCCCAGCAGCAGTGTATTGCTGTTGTGGAGTAAAGTCAGCATTGGGCCTGTGTCCGCAGGGTGAGATCGACACCAAGGTGCGCTCGCTGCAGCATGATCTTGATCACTGCAGCCACTCAGATCTGCCCAAGCAAAATATGGAGGACTATTCCCACTGACATGGTAGGGAGAAGATAGCGGGACTTCTCAGTAGAAGACTGTATGAGAGCGCCCTTATTGCTACAGAATCTCCTACCAGTAGATGGAAGAAACTCACCTGATGGTTAGTCCATAGGAAGACTTTGTCTATAGCTGAGTTTAATTAAAATCAACTTTGGAAATCAATTTAGTTAAACTAGTGCAGGCCCTTACATGGACAAGGTAAAATTGATTTAGATCTAGCTTACATTGATTTCAGCTTAATCAGGTTACTCAGCTCAATCCATTTTCAAATAGGCCTTGAGCTAAATCACTCCAATTTTTTTTTGTTTTCAACAAGGCTGAAGCTGCATATTGCTGAGAAAGTCGGGCTTTCTCACGAAACAGAGGGTGACCAAGAGCAAGAAAAAGCAGCTTTAGCATGAAAGTGAGGAGATATAAACAGGTATTAAAAAAATATGAGGGCACTTGCAGACCATATCAGAGATCTGGGTTCTCCTGCCTTCTTGGCCAGAAGTGGATCTGAACCCAGAGCTCCCCTGAGTATGCTGTACCCAGCAGGCTGCAAGGTATTCTGTGGTAGGAAGAAGGAACAGATTCATGCCTTCTTGTCCTAGCTCTTTACACTTGGCATGAACTATTCATCTATTCATTGGGCCAGAGACAGAGAGGAAAAATGATCTTGACTCTATAGCATAGCTGGTATGGCTTTAAGCCGGGCAGAGGACAGACCTGAGTCCCACTAAGGAGCGATGGGAGCCCACGTCTGCCCAGGAAAACTCTGCTGCTGAGAAGTGAGGCCTCCAGGGTCAGGCAGCATCAGACTGAGGATGTCGTTTGGAATTTTGTGGCAGCGTGGCAACTACAAATGCATACTTCATTTCACTGCAATGTAGAGATACCTGTGCTGATTCTAGGTGTATAGTGTATATCCAGCCCCATTTAGTACCGGATACAGATATTAACTTAGGTTCCAGAATCAGGACGGCAAAAGCATCACACCCAGGTTAATTAGCTCTTGTTTCTCAGTTTTAATGAGTCCAAGTGGGTGGGCACACAGCAGTACTGCTCCCAGCTGTGAAGCGCTGTATCAAGCAGTCATACCCTCAGCTGTGGAGCTGGCCCTGTGCACTCTGTCTTCAAGACTGAGCTTGTCTCTGTGCCCGGGGCTTGAAATCTGTCTAGTCTTCAGTCAGGGTGCAGTGGGAATGAGAAGGGCTCACAAAGAGCATTGCTGTTTCACCAGGGTTGTAGTCTGCTGTAAAAGGAGCAAGAGGTGGGCCAGAGGCTGACTCCCACTCCCACACAGACAGGTGGACAAGGACTCCCAAAAACCACGTTGATGAAGTTGCCCTTACACTGGCACAGAACACCTCGCAGCACAACAGTAGCCCTTGCTCTGGTTTGCACATAGAAGTATATGGTCCTTCACAGCAACCACCCCCATGGTTCAGATAAAGAAATACATTATCCATTCACTTACTCCTGGTCTGTAACCCTGCAAGCCAGCAAGTGCCAACAAACCTGGAAATGAAGGGAAGTGTTTTTTTTTCCAAAGCAAATAACCCAAACATGCTTTTAAACTTCCAGAGAAAACTAACCAAACACACTGTCATCAGCACCACTGGACTTGCACTTGCTGCAGTTAGGATGGCTGTTAAGAAACTAGTACAAAGGAGCTTTAAAGAAACAATCTCTCTTGCCACCCTGTGCCAATGACACTGGAACAAAACAATCATCCCTTTGCATATCAACATGTGCCAGCTAAACCATATGTTCCTCAAGATTAATGCCAGTGGCCATCGGGCAGTAGAGATCTCTCTGTGCTTCCCCAACTAGCCAGACAGAGGCAGCACAGCCCCTTGTGTTTTGCAGGCACTTTGCACATCCAGCTTCGATGCTTTCCAATATTTAATTTTTAAAATTGCTATTCTTTAGCAGCCGCTGTAATCTAATTAACTATCAATCCAGGAAGCTTATATTTTCCCGGCTGGAGACAAGTGCTGCATTGCAGTGATGAGTCCCAAGAGAGATGACACGTTTGCTATTGCAGCCTGGGCAGAGCAATTATGAAGCCCCTCAACCAGCAGCTGATGGAATTAGAAAGTCAGACTTATCGTGGCTACCATTTTGCATCACTGTATGTACAGCATTACAAGACATGTAGGGTTTGTGCTCGTGAATCAAGAGTGAACAAGGAAATAGAAGCCACTGACAAATGTTGCAAATGAACCGTGCACGAGAAATGACAGCTTCATATCTGGAATATTCAAACAAGGACAAATGCTAGAAATACCTGCATTGCACAAATGGTAGAAGTCTGTTTAAACTCCCTAAAGCTCATCCTAGCAAGCACTCACGTGATGGTGATGCACTTGCATCTTCCTAGCATGCTACATTATAACATGGACCCAGGAGAAGCAACATAAACTAAACTGTGACAAGTGGTTATTCAGGCTAGTGTGAGGCACAATACTGAAAGCTGGGTATCTCTCTCCACCTATGGCAAGCCCCAGCAGAAACCTATTGTGGCTTATTGCTCAGAATGCAGCTCTATAATTTTAAGCTTTCCATAAAAAAATCCAATTTGGAGGGAATTTTAGCAACATATCTTTCCACTCTCAGAAGTACTGTACAGTTGAGAATAAAAGAACAATAGAGAAACAGTTAAAAACACTTTCCAGGCCATCCTGCAGATATTTAAAGTGAAATTATCCCCCCATTCCAAATGCTATTTTTAAATGTGCATGAACTTATAAAGCCCATACAGAGTACAAATTTCCATAACATCCAATATATTATAGATTAGCTTTCATAACATCATACAGTATTGGGAAATGAGGATGGCTTAACATGCTAATTAGGGCTTCTTTTTTTTTTAAAGCCAAGATTGCGTTTAATTATGCACATACAAGTTCCAAAAACGTAAATGAAAATTATCTTTCCTAAACAGATGGGAGTTTGCCTAAACTATGGTTTTTAATATAGGCTGTCATATTCCTTTTCATTGTAAACC